TTTTTTTTTCTCTTTTTTTTTTTCACCAGGCAGGTGCCAACCCAGGCCGTTCAGGCCAGCTTGGGACTGAAGAGGAGCAGCAGAGCTCGGGTTTGGAGGAGAGCTCAGGTTTGGGTCCCCCAGGCCATCTGGCAGCATGAGGCGCATGGGTGGGTGAGGAGGCTCCAAACTTAGGGATGCATCAGTGCTGGACAGCTGAAGGTGTCAAAATGGGGCCATTCTGGGCATTATCAGAAGCCTGAAAGAGATATGAGGTGTCAGTGGGCATCAAGCACCTCTGGCATTCCATGGGGATGATCCAAGCATCTCCAAGGGTCTCAGTTCAGGGTTTATGCCTTCATGTCCCAACATATAGACTCAGACATAGGAAACATCACTAGGTGCCAGGCACCTTTCTGCCCAGAGGACATAACTCTGCTTCCACGCAGGGGTTAGGGCTTGATTCCTGTACATGTGCATCCACCTCTGGAATGCCTCCCTYCCCCTCCCATGCCTACCTGGAGCAAGATTAGGGATCTTGGAGCACTCTAAGGCACCACATAGAGCTGGAGCTCTCTGAAATCAGACTTGAGGCAAGGGGAAAGACATGAAACAAAGAACTTCTTAGGATTAGGAAGCATGGATAGCCAAGCTTCTTAGGAAGCATGGATATGGCAGTGCTTAAAGTGACAACAGGATAAGGAGCTGATGAYGGAGCAGGAACTTCAGAGTAGGAAAGTGAAGCTTGTAGCAGCCTGGGAGCAAAGTGGTCGGTGCAACGTGCTTGGAACCCTGGCCTACATGAGCAAGGAGCCTGGGCAGCAGCATGCAGGAATAAAACCCAGCAGCACATGAAACTACTAAGGAAATAACACCCAGCACCCACTATGAAGGAAATAACAGAGCAGGATGAAATCACCAACCTTGGCCATGTTCAGGAAAAGAGGGACCTCATGGCAAAGGTCCCCAAATAACACCAAGTGATGGATTACAGATAAAGAAGGAGGAAGAGACCCAAAGCGCTTGGCTCGAAACCACAGCAAGGAAAGTTGTTAAAAGAGAGATGGCAGCAAAACGTAGAGTCAGTGACATTGGAGTCCCCATCSGAAGAAGGGAGCGCTTGAATGGAGCTCTCTGTAAGCCGCAAGGTGACGTTTGCATGTGGATATCTAGAGTACACAGCTCTCCTTTCCCAGATGGATAGAGGAGCCTGGATGATGCTGGGAAGAATGACCAGGCCTGCAAAGCACTGGGTGCAACAGAGARACAGATTTATTTGGCAGTCACAGACACAAGAAGAGGTGATGTTGTTTTAGATTTCTAAGGAGTGAATATATTCCAAGACATTAAGAGAAAAGGAAGAAAAAAACGGGATAGCTTGTAAGTCAATGCAGTTTAAAGTAAATGGATGAATAATAAAAAAAGGTCTATTAAAAGCAGTCTAACACAAACAGGAAAAGAGCAAGAGACCTAATTAGAAAAAAAAAATCAGTAGGGCTGAAGGTGTTGAATAAAAAGGAAATAGTGGATTTCTTTATGCTAGAGTAGCAAAAAAGAGTTTTTGTGTAGCTCTCAAATCATTCTGGAATAGCTATATTTTAAAAAATAGAGGGGAGATGAAGGGATTCACACAAATAGTTCAAGTAATTTGGATGAATTTTTAGGAGAACAATTAAGGATCTAGAATTAAATGGGGAATAGGATAAGCTGAAACATGGGATCACACGAAATGTTGCTTTGGGATRATACCATTCCCTGTTGCCATCTCCCTCCTTTTCCTTAAAAAAAGGAAACTGTTATTCAGACAGGAGGACGTGGGGCTCAGGAGACGGTGACGGGTGGGCTCTAACGGACGCGCCTGCGCTGCGGGATCCATCGAGGMTCCTGTCTGCGCTAACGTCTTCATCCTGGTGGTGCCGAGGGGAACACGAGCGTGCTGATGAAACCTGCTGACGGCGGAGCTGGGAGTTGGCATTGGCTCCAGCAGGAATGGGAATAGGATGTCGAAAGCCTGGGTGCCTCTTAGGGCTGGGTTAGTGAAAACATAATTAAATTCAGAAATATTAATGACTTGCAGAGATTAATCACAAAATAGTCCCCTATCAGCTATGAAATCAGCACTTGGAAAAGAGAGCTTTGCTAATGACAAGATGAGCAGGAGCTCTGTAAACAGGCCAGTGTAGACCCAGTTATGTCACAGAGATGATCTGAAGGGCGACATGTGATTCTGTCACCAGTTTCAAGGAACAACGAACCAAAGGGGAACAAATAGGGATGAAAACTCCTAAGATGTTCAAGGAAGGGGCAGAGGATGGAAAGGGCAGGGGATAAATGCACGTGGTGTGTTCAGTTTGGCTAAACAGAGCAAGCTGGATGGGTTTATAAGGCCAGATTATGAGATTTGCTTGTCTGCAACACTAATGAGACTGGATGACCAAGAGGTCCCTTTCAGAGATCTGCAGAAGATGCTGTAGTGACACGATAGAGGTGGATCTTTAGGTGCAACATCTAGAGGTCCCTTCCAACCTCAACCATTCTGTGATTCTGTGAAAATGAAATTTTACAATATTTAATGCTAGCTCAAATTTTGTGGGCAGAAGTAAATTATTTCCTCAAATTTTGAGCCACTCTCCAAGTACTGGATCAAAAAGAGTTCTAATACAGTGGAAATGGGCTTATTTGTCAATCTTTTAAATACAGAATTTCCTAGGAATTTCTCCTAACTTATGCAGATATACCTGGCACRAAAACAAAGGTGTTAGCCCAGATAGCCATGGGCTAGAGCTGGTGTGAATGAAGGCAGTGTTGATCGAGCCCTATGAAAAGCCCTGAAAAATGGCTTTTCTCCACTCCTCTGGCTGCATCACCTGCCAGCAGCAAAACACAACAGGGAGCAAACAGAGGTATTAAAAGATGTAAAAGGGAAACCACTTTCCCCTCTCCTGGGAAAGCTCATGAGGCTGCAGAGGCCAAGCTCCCAGAGTGAGATGGGATCTTCCCTCCACGCTGGGAGAGCAGGGAAGGAGGGACCCGCAGCTCCTCCCCACAGCCTGGCCCCATCTCTATAGCAGCGCAATTGCAGACATTCTTCCCTCTCCACAAGAAAGCCTGACTAATGTTCTGCAATTATATTAGTCTGCATTTTAATCAGATTTTATCTTCTCCTAAGCTTGCGTTTTTTTCCTACTTCCTCCTTATGTAACATTCCCAAACTCTCAGCCAAGCAGTGAAAGCTGAGAGTTTTCTCCCTCGCTAAGGCTGCCCATCCACTGCTGATGTTTTTGTCCTGGTTTGTGCCCCCACAGAACCAGCCGTTGCTTGGTGTGTTTGGATCAAGCACCTGTTTGATCCACAAAGCGGGAAGGAAGCCCTGGTGACAGAATCTCTTGAATAAATGCAAGCTCTAACTCTCATTCAAGAGTGTTTATGTGATCACTTAGCAGAATTTGTGTTTTCCATTTTAGGAATGCCTTTGGGATCTGTATGAGGCACTCGGAAAACTGGGGCATGAAAATGCTGTTGCTTCACGGCCTTTGGTCTCATCGTGAGACATGGTCAGGTTGTGAAGGGGCTGAAGGGCTGCATTATGCCAGGAAAAGGTCACCAAGCAAGACTCCTTGTGCCAGGTCAGGCCGACCTCGGGCTGCAGAGCAGCCCTTGGGCTGCTGCAGCTGCTGCCAGGTGCTAAGCAAGGTAGGAGCTTTTTGCATCTACCATATGCAWGTTTAACCTCGGCAGGTCCTGGAACCTCTCTGGTTTATCCTGCAGCAGTCACAGCCCTGAAGCTGCAGGCGCTGCATTTCGGTGACTGCCTCTCCAGATGCTGGCTGTCACCTTTGGGCTGGAAAGATCTGAGAGCTTTAGATTTCTGTTCAGTTCTCCAGCTGGAAGGATGTAAATTCAAGTCTTGCCTACAACAGAAAGTTTTGATGAGTGAAAATGTAGGTTGCAAAGTCAAATGTGGAAAACACAGGAAATGCCAGAAATAAGATTGCCTGGGCAACATTAACGCATCCTCCCACATTCACATGCGTTTTGTTACAGCCTTAATTGCATAATGTCACACCATRACACCATCTCCTGCAATACTGGCACCCTGCCTCCTCTTTGCCCATGGAAACGGAGCACCTAAATACACAGAAAGATCTGAGTGTTATTCAGCATTTCTTTTAAATCCTCAGTTCATCAGTCTGGGTCCTACATATGAGCTATTCCCTTCAATACAGTAACTACCAACTCCTTCATAGATGTGTAGCAAGCATAACATGAGAAATTCTCTGGCTATATACAAACAAACCAGTTTGCACAAGTAATGTTGAAACATCAGAATGATTTATGAATCCAAATATTACTTAATGCAATGCCATAGATATATTGCATCCAGGCAGAGGATGCAGCGAGCTCCTCAGGACACCAAGCAGGTGTCTGCTCACCCAGAACCCGCACAGGGAGGGCAGTGAGGGGAGAGAAAGGCCTATTTTGCAGGAGGAGAGGAGCAAAGCCTGGCTTCTTT